CAGACAATTGTCTGAAACATCTTCCCAACATTTTGATCACTGAAAACATTGACCAGATTTGTATGTCCCTATGTAAATGCTAGCAAATAAAACCTGATGAGTAGACTATAAAAAAAGAAAAGATAATAAAATAGAAAGACATTTAGAAATCTCTGACAATGTCAATTGTCTGGACAACTGCATGACTGTATAGTCCAAGATAGAAGACTGGTAACAATAGAGTAAAGCAACATGAAACACTTTAAAACTCCCTTTGAACTAGAAGTTCCAAACCATTTTCTTTGCAGAAAAAAGAGCATCAATGACAGAGAAGATGCTGCTCTATGTGTCCTGTCAGCTATTTACTGGTAGTTCACCAGGAGGTCAAAATGTTTGCAGAGGTTGTTGTATTAGGAAGCAGAGTAGGTATTTGTTTTTCAGCTTTAAAAATAATGAATTTTTCACTAAAGGACAGTAACCTCTTGAAGTTAAAAGGCATAGGTACTAACACCTAACTGTCCTTTTGTTAGGCTCCCTAGCTGATTATTCTGCTAACACATATAAAAATGCTTTTAGAAACTTTGGAATACTTGTTTAATAGAATCTGTAATAATGAAATTTTTCTCATTCTTCAACACTGCAAAATAGGACAAAACCATCTTACTATTAAAATTTGAAAAGCAGCTTTTAATCAATCCCTCTGCTTTCAGCAGACTTCCCATTTTTGAAGCAGCTTGAAGAGGTTGGGTTGACCGCTTACTGGGTCATAAAGTCCAGAATATTACCTTTATTATACGAGTCTTTATTGGGGTGGAAATGAAAATTTAGCCATATTCCAACACTATTTCCAGCCTTGAGAAAGTCAGGAGATAATTTTCCTACTGTCATGGCTGGCATTTAAAAAACAAACAAAAAAAAGAATCTGAAAGAAACATTTTAGCTAATCTTTATAGTGTGCAGGTACATGTCACCTCACCCTGATAATCTGATTGTTCAACCCAGGGGAGGTGTGATGCTCATTAGTGTGCTTGCACTCATGTTTTCTGCTGAGGGATGCTGGAGCACAGAGGGTAGTTGCTGGGTGATCAGAATCAGTGGCCATGCTGACCCAGCCATGGGCACTGCAGTCCCCTGTCAATGTGCAGTCAGGTTGTGCAAATCCTACAGCACAAGACACAGGAACAGCAGTGGAGAGGGATGGAAAATGGTATCTGTTTTTCAGATATAATGGGGGGCTAGCACTTGGTTAAAAATTACTTTTTCAGTCCGCTAGTTGATCTTGTCATACACTGGGTGACATTTAGGAAAAAAGGAAAGTGAAATTTGGAGGAAGAAAGAAATTTGCATGTGAAATATATGATGTGATGCCTTGGGGCAACTTTAACCACACAAAAACTGAAAAAGCAGTAGCACAAAACTGAAAGAAATGATTGCATTTTACAGTTGAAGTATATGACACGAGGACCAAATGCTTTTGAAAAAATCAATATTTGCACAGTGAAAGTGCAATTTTACTCTTGAGGCAGTCAGCAAAGGAGCACTTCAAAAGCTGGCTTGTATAGAACTGCAATTTAAGAAACAAATTCGAAACTGAAGTGGCAGCATAGCTTCTCTCCGACAAGCAATATGGCTCCTTTGGTCTTCTGTGCTGGAGTAACAGAAACACTAATGTGCAATACCCTACTGTAATCAGTTTCCTAAACAAAATTAAGTCAGATATAAGGTTAAAAGTACACCTCAGCAGCAGAATAAAGGGTAATCAGGAGCAGTTAATGAGTGAATATGAGGTACCTGAACTTTGTCCAGCAAGAAAGACAATTTAATTTCATTTACATTTAATTTACATTTCCTTGGTGGGCAGCATTTTTGTATATATTAGAACCAGTAGCTCTAACTCAGACAAGGTACAAGACACTGTAATTCAGACAAGGTATAAACAAAACCTTTAAAAAATATTGTATATTGAGACATTCCAGTTTAAGGAAAGGATCAATTAACTTTCCCAGTTTTAATCTTAAAACATCCTGAAGCTGTAACAGTCAAATAATGTTTCAGTGACATCTGTCTCAAAAAAAAGCATTTAATAGGAAATATCTTTATATACAACTGAGAAAAAAGAGGCAAGGTAATGATTTGATGACCTTTTCCACATTATATTTGTAAAATTATTTACTTTTAGGTTGCTTTTCTTGCCAAAACAATTCTCAGTCTTCATTCTATATCACTAGATTATTACTATTGCATGACTAAAAAAAAAATAAAACCCAAACCAACACAATAAGAGTTTTTTTTATTTATGGAAATGTCTGATTTGTTATCTACATCACATTGCTATGTAGTAGTTTAAAAACTGACATTCTCTAGGTGTAGAAATGAAACAGAAAGTCAAAACCACATATTTTTGACACTTTGTGTACTGCAGAATGACTCTCGAACAACTTTGTGCAGTGCTGATTCTGTTTGTGACTTCGCGTTTAATTTAGAAGGGCTCGTTTCCATGGGCTGCTGGACAAGCTCAGTGTAGGATCTGCAGGTCCTGTTATTCTATGAGTCACCACACCTAATTGTCTGTCCCCCAACTGCGATAGGATTAACAATTCCATCAATGGCTTACTCGTGGTGCTGTGTTTCCCCCAAGCAGAGCCACTCCAAAGCAGGAGCCCTGCTCACACCGGCATCCATGTCCTGCTGTCCCTTGGCTTGGTGGGAGCCAGTGGCAGCGTGGCCATGGCAGCACAGGGCCTGGCACAGCAGTGACATCTGCCCAGGGCTCAGACAGTGCTGCAGGCCTGAGGGCAGCTCTGCATTGCCTTTTCCATGGCGTGTGGTGGTTGCACAGCACACCCGGCTGCGCTTCCCAGCCTTGGTAGCTTTAGGCTAAATCAGCAGAAACCACATTCATAACCTTGTCTTAAATGAAGAATCATCCTTGGGAAGGTTAGGTGGGGAGACAGGACTCAATACATGACCATTTCTCTAGGTATATTATTTTTTATTTCTCTAAAGTAGTTGTTCCTTTAAAAGGATACTCCTTTTATTCTGTTATAATGTTCCATTATCTCCAATGATCAGGACAGCTGTTTAATCATTGCTTTTACATTTCCAATAAAATATATAAGTAATAATAGGTAGTAGCTAAATAGTTGCTCCTTTAAAAGGATACTCCTTTTATTCTGGTATAATGTTCCATTATCTCTGATGATCAGGACAGCTGTTTAATCATTGCTTTTACATTTCCAATAGAATATATAGGTAATAATATGTACTGTCTTCTTCATCAAGCAAAAACATGAATGGCATCAATAGAAGCAGTCAGTAAATATTAAAACTTTTGAATGTTATAATCACAGAGGTACTCTGAGTTTATGGGTGGCTAAGTTCACTTTTACATTTAAAGGCTGTGTGGGACTTGAGTGGTTGTTAATGAACACAAGTATGGTAAATTAGTACAGATCAGGAAAAATGATAAAGATTGGCATAGAATGTGCAACCATTTTTGTAAGTGTGGAGTTAGGGCTATGATTGGTCACTCTCTGCAGCAGACGTACAGTCTAACTTGCATGAGCATTTTTGTCTTGTTCATCTCCCTGTCTTAAAATGAGCAAAATAACTTACTATTTCTACAGGTAAAAGTAATTTCTGAGAAAGGCACTGAAATGATATTTTGAAATCCTATTCAAATATATCTGAAATCCTATTTAGATATTGCACAGTCTTTCACACTATTTCCCAGGGTAACATTCCTTGCAAGAGAACAAAAACAAATTATCTGTGTAGTTCACAAAAGACAGTTCTTCTAAATCTATAAAAAAGAGACCAATTTAAGAGCTAAACCTGGACACCCTTCTCTTCCACAGTACTACACAGTTCTGCCATTTTACATTATGATTTCTTTTCTACATGTGGCTGAGTATTATGTTGCTATTCCCAAGAGTTTAACAAGCCACTGGTGTGTTGGGTAGATTATTTTTTCCTATTGTTTTCTTTCAGTCCTGTCTGTGCTGCTCTTCATCTGTACTGCTCTGTGCTGTCTTATTTCCAAAGAATCACCTGGTGATCATTGACAATTCATCCTGAAGTACTATTTTCCTGAAAAGGTTACCAGTAGCAGCCCATCAGATTTCTGTATACACAGGCATGCCTGTATATAAAGAGAAGGAAGAATATCTTTCTGGTATTTACTATATTTATATATAGTGCCATGCAGAGTGGCACAGACTTAACATTAATTTAGTGTAATGTGTAACAAAAACAAATGTCTATCATATTTTATTCAGATCTAACCTGAATACTGCTGCAGGATACTGTTTATATTGTATGGGCTGACTGGTGATCACCAGTCACCTGCCAGTTCTATGTTTGATATTACTGTTAACCAGCTCTAATACCTTTGCAATCTTTTAGTTCCTCAGGCAAGTGTACATTTTCTTTACGAATCACCTCTAGTACACTCCCATCCTTTCAGACTTCTCAGTCCAGTAGTTCAGCAAAGTGAGGGTTTGTTTGCACAGCTGCAGCATCACTTTGTCTTTTGATTTGATAACCTTATCTATCTATTTACTTGGAAAAGAAAAAAATTTATATTTGTCAGTTAGAAGTTCTTGTAAACAGGCTAGGCCCCAAAAGAGACTTGTACTTTACAGATAGCATGCAGCACATTCTGTCTCCTGTTTAATCTTTCATGAGCTCAGTAATCATAGGCAAGTCACTAATCTCTCTGCTTTCCTTTCTGCACTGGTGAAGCAGTTGTGGTAAGAATATTCTTTGAGGGTTTAGATGTCTTTTCTAAGCTTTGTGAAACTTTTGGACATGCTGGAAATTTTGTACAAGTTGAAACTGAGGACCGGGGTAGCAAAGCAGACTAAAATTAGTAGATACCAAGACATAACTTCTGTTCTGTATCACGGAAAAACTTCCTTTAAAAGTTCAGGCAGTTTAGATAGCAGGAGGGACCAGGTCCACAGCTGCTCTGTGGTGGCATGTCACAACAACACCATCTCTCTGTCCCTTTGCTCCTGCAGTATCGGTCGGGGCGGGATCCTCACCGAGGCTCGGACAACGTTTCCAACAAGTCCTCGGACAGCGATGTCAGCGACGTCTCGGCCGTGTCCCGCACCAGCAGCGCGTCCCGCTTCAGCAGCACCAGCTACATGTCTGTGCAGTCAGAGCGCCCCAGGGGCAGTAAGAAAATAAGGTGAGCACCATCAGCTGCAGTGGCAGCCATAGCTGTGTAACTTTAGTAATGGAACACTTATCAATATTGTCTTTGACTTTAGCATTTCGCCTAGAATGACATTTGCAGGGATTTTGCAAAATACTGGCTCAAATGTCTTTTTTATCCAATGCTTCTTCAAGTCTTCATGGAATTTGTTTTTAGCGAAGTTTTGTTGTCTTGGATTATCTAACATACACTGAAATAACAAACATATGCTGTCAGGAAGCATTAGACACGCTTTCTGAAAACCATTTTGTAAAATATACTTAATATGACTGAAAAGACAGTTTAACTCAAAAATTTTGTGCCAGCAGAGGCATCTTATTCTTCTTTTAAATAGAACGCTGAACTTTTATAGATGTATTATTTAATACTTAGACCAATTCAATTTATTTAATACTTACACTAGTCCAACTTAACTGTAGGTGTACAATCATTGAGCTGCTCTTCAACAAGATGTACATTGTGTATCTGTGACTAAAACACAGCATTTTTTTTGCCTGCACCCTGTGTGCGCTCAGAGGAGCTTTGGGTTTCATTTGGTGCACAAATGAAAGATAATTTTTCTAGGTGTAAACCACCTCCATCACCTATAGTAATTCTCAGAAAATTGTCCTCTTAAAAGAAAGTATTTGCAAATTTAAGCATCTGCTCATATGAACATTGTTAAGTCCGCATTGTTTCGGTCACACATTTCTTTCTAAATGTGAGGTATTGCCATGCAAGTTTTATTTGAATAGGGACTTACTAAGAAAATGCTCCAAAGCTCTCCAGTGTAGGCTGGGCTCCTAGCAAGCATGACTTACATTATGTCTGCTTCTATCCTTTAGTTTTTATTTAATTTCTTTTGCATTTCCTTTCTTCATGCATGCTCTTCTCCTGACTTTAATTTATTCTTTTCTTTTTCCTTTTTGCATGCCTTTTTCAATTTTGTTGACTTCAGAAGAACAAGGGATATAGAGGGGAAAAAAGAGGGAGGGCTGGAAGGGGATGAACAAGATGAAGTATTTCCTGAGGAGGAAGAAAAAGAGAAGGAGGAGGAAAAAGGAAAAGAGCAAGAAATTAATGAAAGAGGGGAAGGGCAAGAGGTGACAGAGAACTGTGATAAGGAGGAGATCAAAGAATCAGGGCATGATGAAAAAGCTCAAGAAGACCAAGCTGAGGAAGGGAAAGAGGAAGACAGGTAAAATATATTTCTGTTTATGTAGATCTATTCTTTTTCCTGTACCAGCACCCTACTTGTCTTCCCTATTTATTCCCTTTGCTTGCATATTGCCTATGCTCTCTGCAGCTCTTTTTTTTGTTTGTTTTTGCTTTCAGTCATCATGCTTTCATATTTAATCAAGTTTCATTCTCAGCTTCAATGAACTTGTTCTGCATACCAAATGAGGCAGCACATAAACTTGACTCATTAATATGCATACAACTGCAGCATATTATTTTTTAAATTAGTTTAGACTAAAGTTTGGGTTTGACTGTAATAAACAGTAGAAATTGTAAGCTTCTTTATTAGATTTCCTACTTGAATTATTATTTAATGGAAAAATGTTTTGTTGAGTGAAAACTCAGCAATATCAAAATTATCTTTACTTATATTTACGGCCATACTAAAGAAGAAAATCTGGATTTTTTTGTTTCAGTCCTCTTTGTGGTGCATACTGATTGACAATCTATGTGGATAAAGCAGATTCTTCCTTTTTCTTTTTTTATTCCATGTGAATAATTGGCAAGGGTTGCTGTATTGTGGAAGGGTCACGCACTTCAGCTGCTGTGTTGTATCCAGAAACATTGCAGCCCAACTGGCTCTGTCTTTATCAGATAATATTGTAGAATTATACATTTTGCCACAAATCCTTAAAACAATGTAACTGTCTGACTTTTTGTATTGCAAAATCCATGTATGTCCCATTGAGAGAAATACAACATTCCTCTTTTCCTCATTAGAATAAATGAGTTTCAAATTTGATGAATATTTTTTAACCCATTCTCTTTCACACAAGAATGGCAGAAAATCTCAGAAAAAAATACTTTTTCTTTTAGCCTGACAATTCTGCACTACCTCAAAATAACATGCCTGTTATATTGTGGTCATACACATTAGGGTAAGCGCAGAGCAATCCATGGAAATCCATTTTCTTTCCTTGCTACAAACTTACACATGTGCATGTTTGTAGATACTGACATACATAACATACTCAAAACAAAGGGGATTCAAAGAGAGAATCAAGATGCCTAGTGTATATGAACTAACAGCCATACTACTGCCTTTAAGTATTGTGCCATCATTCCTTTCACTCATATTCATGCATTTTAGATTTTAGCAAAAAGAGTTGTTTAGAACCAGCTGTCTTTAAGAGTGCCTTGGCATATGTGTTCTGGGGCCTGTAGTATGGTGGTGTGTGAAAGGATTATTTGAGGACCTTTTTCTCTTCCATTTCCCACTAATTTCCCAGTCTAATGGATCTGAAAGTCTTGCCTTTCAACAGCATGACTCTGTTTCAGGTTTCTAGATTTCACTCAAGCTGGTCTTTAGCCAATATGCTATCCCCCATAGAAAGTAACATCCTTTTTGAGGAAAAGCTTCTTGTTTCCTGTGCCAGCTTGTTCTTCTGGTTGCTAGCTGTTCTCTGCCTTCAGGAAGAAGTGATATAAGTCAGGGATCTCTATAAAGAAACAAGATGTTATTAGGTGATTGTTGTGTAGTGACTTTTGTTTGTGTTAGAGTTTGGCTCCCTTCATGGAAATCAGTCTCTAATATTATTTCCCCACTTTGCCCATTTTGACCATTTTAGTATTCAAGCTGGGAATGAACAGAAAAGTTAATATTCACCTCCTTTACTATGGTAGAGTCAGTGCTCATGTTTTAGCATTGTCTGAGCATTTTTCTAGGGTAAGAATGAAACAGAAAAGCTAGATTCATTCCTGGATATGGGCAGGTATAGATATGTATACACATTTATATACACACGTAGCTGTGTCTCATTAGCATATTGAAATATTATGACTTGTGTGTTCAGTGGACAAGCCCAAAGGCAGGATCAGTTTTTGAAAATTCAGTGCCTTCTGCTCATTTCTCTGGCAATTTTTAAAATAACAGATACTTGGAAATTTATAAGATAAGGTAATGACTTCAGCTTCCAAAAAAGAATGTTTTCAGACACACCACAAATATTAAAAGTAACCAAACATATCAATTAAACATATCAATAGGTATTTGAGATGCCCAGCAGAACAAACGTGGCCAATTCTCCCTTGATAGAATAGTAGTAAATTATAATGTAGCTCTTGAGATCTTGGGCATCAAGGAAAGATATATTGCAGATGGGAATTTTCAAGATGTTTTTTACTTCAGAGGTGCATCTGTAGTTGGACAGCAGCCACCTTTCCTCTGGGCACTGTGAAATGCAGGGGCTGCTCACAATCATTCCATCATCAAAAAAATCACCCTATTAAGGATACCTCATACCTCTTGATGTTACTGTGTTTATATACTTCAGGAGTAATGGTAGTAGTCCCACTGAGGTCTTCAATCTGCTGAGATCATGGGTGGGTTGAAATGACTGTGAGCACAGACATTCATCACTAATTCATCCCATGCCTATTTCACAGAGTACCTTGGCACAATAAAAGGCGTTAGCTTTTGGAGCCCTGGTGTATATTAAATCAGTTAATTTTTTTTTGCCAGTTGCAGCAAATTAATTAATTAAACTTTGTAAAACTAAACTTTGGCATATACTTGATATGTAGGGAAATCATAATTGTGTTCTTTGCAGTACATGTTAACAAAAAAATAGTGGCTCCAGCTTTGATGTTGGGTATTTATTATGTAGAGTTCACTAACTTTTTTTCTTATTCCATCTCCTTGATAATCTCAGGGCAAAAAATAAAGGCTCCTTATCTATAATCTTTGATCATCGATACTTGTTATTAAAGGCAATCTGATTTAGACTGCCCTAAATTTTATCCCTTTATATTTTTTAAAATGTCAATCCCAAGCATTAATTCTGATAGTCACAATAGTTTTGTTTTACCATGAGAGTACAGAGCAAATGTAGTGACAGAGCAGGATTTCACTGCTGAAATACAGTAGAAAAATACAACTTCTGTTCCAAGCACACAGAGTGTAAATTATGAAATAACATATGAGTCCAGAGAGGGAAGCACAGAAGAACAAAGAGATGTTCCACAGAACATAGGTACAACACAGTGCTGGAGACATCTTGACAACAGAGAATGAATACTAAGGGGAGATTTGGGGAGAGAAAATAAGGTATCTTTGTGAATGTCTCTGGAGAGCTATTTTCAAGCATTTAAGACAATGAGGACAAAACATGAGGTCCTTGCTAAAAATACATCAAGTGCATGAGGGGCAAGCTTGATGATCAGGAGTTGATCTTTCAGTCTTGAATGAGAGATGATAAATGTGATAAGGAACAAGTGCCAAGATACTAGGAAGTAAGGATGAATTATAGACAATTGTGTAAAAGAGAGTGTAACTTTTTACTGATATGTAGAGGAAGATGAGACAACCAAATAGAAAGGCTATGAAACTTACCTTTTCTCTAGTGTCCTGGAAGGGGTTATTGGGTTAATTGCCAGGGCTGGAGAAAAGCACTGCAGTATCTGTCATTTGAAAGGGTGAGAGAGTGGACAAACAAATTGTCTATGTGGGTGGACAGAGAGGGCAGAGATGGGAAATAAAAAGCATGTGCAAGTCACAAAGTTTTGCTATATATTTGGAAGGAATAGAGCTGATATTCTGTTAGAAAAAAAAAAGTAAATTCTAAAAGATAGTAGAAGGAATAGAGCTGATTAAGTAAGAAGATGAAAACCAATCATCCAAGAAAGAAAAATTTGTTGTGGAAAAATTCAGCTGGTATGTAATTTTGCAGAGCACTTAAAAATTCAAGAAACAGAGTGCAATGCATGGCTTTAAGTAATGTATTTATTCAGCTGAACCCTTATTTCTTTCCAAAGGT